TGTGTGCATTTACTGCTATAAACTGACCTCCAAGCACTGCTTTTGCTGTGTCCCAAAGGTTCTGGTAGGATGTGTTTTCATTTTCGTTTGATTCTATGAATTTCTTTATTCTCTCCTTAATTTCTTCTATAACCCGGTAGTTTTTGAGCAAGGTGTTGTTCAGTTTCCATGTGTTTGATTTTTTTTCCTTTTTGTGTTGTTGATTTCCACTTTTATGACATTATGGTAAGAAGAGATGCTTTGTAATATTTCGATGTTTTGGATTTTGTTAAGGCTTGCTTTATGGCCTAATGCGTGGTCTATTCTGGAGAATGTTCCATGCGCGTTGGAAAAGAAAGTATACTTGGCTGCTGTTGGGTGCAGTGTTTGGTATATGTCTATGAGATCAAGTTAGTTGATTGTAGCATTTAGCTCTTCCGTGTCTTTGTTGCGCTTCTTTCTGGATGTTCTGTCCTTCACTGAAAGTGGCATGTTGAAGTTTCCTACTGCTACTGTGGAGCTGTCTGTCTCTTCAGATAGAGTTTGTTTTAGGTATTTTGGAGCCCTGTTATTGGGTGCGTAAATATTTATTATAGTCATGTCCTCCGGATGAATTGACCCTTTAATCATTATATATAGTGCCCTTGCTTATCCTTTATGGTGGATTTTACTTCAAAGTCTGTTTTGTCAGAGATTAATATTGCCACTCCTGCTCTTTTTTGAGTGTTGTCTGCTTGATATATTTTTTTCCATCCTTTGAGTTTAAGCCTGTTTGTGTCTTTAAGTCTAAGGTGCGTCTCTTGTAGGCAGCATATAGATGGATCATGCTTTTTGATCCAATCTGCCACTCTCCGTCTCTTTACTGGTGCATTAAGTCTGTTTACATTCAGTGGAATTATTGATAGGTATGAGTTCAGTGCTGTCATCTTGATATCTCTTTGTTGTTTGCAGTTTCTTTGTTCTCAGTTTTCTGTGCTGAGTCGTTTTTCTCTATGTATTTTTTTTTCATCTTTTTCTTTGTTGTAGATTTTGTGTTTGCTGGGTCTTTATGTTTTTCTACTTTTTTATTTTGATTTGTAGGATTGTTAGAATCCTTTGTGGTTACCTTAAGTTTATGCTAGTCTTTTAATACTTTATATCGCCTTAACTTCCCCTCCATATAAAAAATCAATGTCTCCATTTTTAAGTCCCTCTTTCTTGTTTTAATATTATCCTTTTTTATATATTGATATCTGTTTCCCTATTTTCAATGTTTTAGCTTTGATGTATTTCCATATCTGTATCTAAGTCAGTATCTGGTTGCTCTGTCTAGTGTTCTATTCTTGCCAAATCTGTAATTCTTTGGGTTACAATCCTAGATTTAGAATTGCTGATTTAGAGGGTCTTTTTCATTTTAAAAGATAATGCTAGAAACTGCCAAATTACTCTCCAGAAAAAGATATTCCAATTATATTGCTACTGTGAGAGCATTGGTGGTTCAGTGATAGAATTCTCACCTTCCATGCAGGAGACCCGGGTTCAATTCCTGGCCAGTGTACCTCTTGCAGAGCTACCACCTGTCTTTCAGTGAGGCTTATGTGTTGCTGAACAGGTTTCAGCAGAGCTTCCAAGACTAAGAGAGAGTAGGAAGAAAGGCTTGGCCATCTGCTTCTGAAAATCAGCCAGTGAAAACCCTATCGTGGATCACAACTGTCTGATCTGCAGCCGATCATGGAGATGGTGCAGGATCGTCCAGTGTTTCGTTCTGTTGTACGTGGGGTCACCACGAATCGGGCCAACTCAACACAGCTAAGAACAGCATACTCCTACTGGCACTAATGTCAGTGTTTCCATGCCCTTATTCAACCACATGTATTATTAAACAATTAAGCATATGTATTATTAAAATGGAGCCCTAGTGGCAAAGTGGTTAATATCTCTGGCTGCTAACCGATAGGTCTGCAGTCTACCAGCTGCTCCTCGGAAACCCTATGGGCTAGTTCTACTCTCTCCTATAGGGTCGCTATGAGTTGGAATTGACTCTATGGCACACAGCAACAACAACATTATTAAAACAGCAGCCCTGGTGGAGCAGTAGTTAAACACTCGGCTGCTAACCAGGTCAGCGGTTCAACCCTACCAGCTGCCCCGTGGTTGAAAGATGTGGTGGTATGCTTCCATAAAGATTTCAGCCTTGAAACCCTATAGGGCTGTTCTACTCTGTCCTGTAGGGTTGCTATGAGTCAGAATCAACTTGACAGCAGTGGGTTTTCTTATTATTAAAACAATTTTGTGCCAGTTTACTAGATAAAAAGTGTGGTGCCTGCTTATTCTAATCTAGATTTTATTTTTTTACTAGTGGCCGTGTATATCTTTTCATATTGACCATTTTATATTTTTTCTTTTATAATATTTTGAAAAGAAAATATAAATATAATCTTTATATTTTGCCTTTTCATGTCCTTTGCTAATTTTTTTTTTTTGGCTCATTACTGAATAGTTTCTAAGAGCTCTTCATACGTTAATGATAGTAATCTCTTAACGGTCATGTCATACATGCTACAGATTCCACCCCCCCACCCCCACCCCCATTTTGCCTTTTCATCTTGTTCTTGGGATGTTTTAATGTATAGAAATTAATTTTATGTTGTTAAATCTTTTAATTTCTGCTTTTGTGTATATGTTTAAAAAGACTTCCCTACCTCCAGATTGCTGTTCACCTATGTATATATTTTAGTTCTATTTAAAACCTTTGGATTTTTATGCCCATAATATTATTTTCTAATTTGATTCACAAATGTGTATAGCTTGAATTGACTGGAAATTTAATTAGTTACAATTTCTTTTACAGCAAAGATTTGTGGAGAAGATGGACAGGTGGATCCCAACTGTTTTATTTTGGCACAGTCCATAGTCTTTAGCGCAATGGAGCAAGAGTAAGTTAATTTCATACTTTCACATTTTGTTTTCTTGGGAATTTGAGTTCAGTGTTAGGAATAGGCTTCACTCAACAGAAAACAAATTATCTTTGAGTATTTTAAATGTGTAAGGATCACATAAGCATATTCTAAGACCATCTTGGTTAGTGGTTTAAATATAAATATAAATATATTTTAAAAATAAATTATGTAAACTCTATTAAAACTAAAAGGAAAAGTTCTTATGTTAATATTTCCTAAATTAAAAGAATTTGCTTTTACTAATGGACTGCAACTACCACAGCCTCCACCAGACTGAGTCTAGCGTAACTAAGTGGTGCCTGGCTAACACCACCAACTGCTTTGACAGGGATCACAATAGAAGGTCCTGGACAGAGCTGGTGAAAAATGTAGAACAAAATTCTAACTCACAAAAAAAGACCAGACTTACTGGTCTGACAGAGACTGGAGAAGCCCTGAGAGTATGGCCCCCGACACCCTTTTAACTCAGTACTGAAGTCACTCCTGAAGTTCACCCTTCAGCCAAAGATTAGACAGGCCCGTAAAACAAAACAAGACTAAATGGGCACACCAGCTCGGGGGCAGGGATGAGAAGGCAGGAGAGGATAGGAATCCTGGTAACGGGAAACCCAAGGTCAAGAGGGGAAGAGTATTGACATGTTGTGGGGTTGACACAACCAGTGTCACAAAACAATATGTGTATTAATTGTTTAAAGAGAAACTAATTTGCTCTGTAAACCTTCATCTAAAATACAATTAAAAAAAAAATTTGTTTTTAGTTCTGAAGTCCTTTAGGCATGATTGTGACTATTAATGTGACTATTAGAATTGGTTTCTTTATTTAAACAATGCACGTCTTCAGCTGGATACTCTGTTAGTACTCTAAGCTTAATGGATGTTAATATTGTTAAATCCACATAGAATTGTTGAAATTTCCTCCAGAATTGAATTTCTAGATTAATTACTTTTGCGTGCTCTTAAAAAAATCTATATATTCTTCCATTTAACATTTATGAAGAATGTTTTGTGTAAGATACAGTTAGACCTTGCACCTGCCTTGAAAGAAGTTAAAGCCTCGCAAGAGAAATAGGGCATGTTCTTTGGTTACTGAGGTAGCTTGTGTTAAATATCAGAACAGAGCTACCAAGTCATTAAGAGGTGGGAGAGATTACTTACAGGTGGAGGAATCAAGAATGACACTATGGGAAGTAAGGTTGTGTTGACCTAGGCCTTTAAGATATAAGGGGGACAGTAATAGAAAGAGTGTATTTTTCCTGATTAAGCTCTTTCCTTGGTCATTCCCTCATATTTTCCTTTTTTGTTCATGTGCAGGCACTTTAGTGAGTTTCTGCGAAGTCACCATTTCTGTAAATACCAGATTGAAGTACTGACGAGTGGAACTGTTTACCTGGCTGACATTCTGTTCTGTGAGTCAGCCCTCTTTTATTTCTCTGAGGTAAAGTCTGCATTTTCTTTCACACCTTATTAGAGCATTCCAGCCTCTAAACTATAAATGCTGGATCCTGTATATAGAAAGTAACATAGATGACACAAATCATTTCCAACAAGATCGATTGAATTTTAATAATTTTCTTGTTTTAAGTTGTGTCTAATGACAAGAGCAGTTTAATGGCATATTAGGTTAAAGAGAAAGTGGAATTCAATGTAAAATAACTATAATTTTGAAAGAAAAACCTACTTAACCTATTGCTTATAAGAAAGTGCATGCTTTTAACTATTTGGAGCTGTTTTAAAGCCACAGAGGTGGATACTTGAGTTCAGTGCACAAACATTTGCAGACCAGACTTCAGAACAGAGAAAGAAAAGTAGTAAATTTTTTTCCTGCTTCTAGCATTTTTACTTTACCTACTTGATAGAATTGTCCGGTGAAACATTTGCAAAAAGCGGTGACTATATTAGTCTCTGTGAGGCATATAGTTTAGTTTAATGATATTTGTTAGGCTTTAGCAAATAAAATTCTTTTGCTGCAAAATATATGACTATTGTGTTGTTAGGTGCTATCCAGTAGATTTTGACTCATAGTGACCCCATGCGACAGAGTAGAACTGCCCTATACTATAGGGTTTTCTAGACTGTAATCTTTAAGGTCTTTCTCCCATGGAGCCGCTGGGTGTGTTCCAACTACCAACCTTCGGTTAGCAGCTGAGCGCTTAACTGTTGCACTACCAACCCGTTAAAAAACCAAACCCACTGCCATCAAGTTGATACCGACTCATAGTGACCCTAAAGGACAGAGTAGAACTGCCCCATGGTGTTTCCAAGGCTGTAATCTTTGCGGAAGCAGACTGCCATATATTTCTCCTGCAGAGCGGCTGGTGGGTTCAAACTGTTGACCTTTCGGTTAGCAGCCAAACGCTTAACCACTGGGCCACTGGCGCTCGTTGCACCACCAGAGCTCCTTAAATGACTGTTAAATGGAGATAAAGATGATTCCCAATCTCACAAAGCAGTAACTTAAATCGACACTTGCATTCTGCCTCTTCACAAGAGTACAGTTGTTCAGCTGATTCGTTTTTTCACTCCTTCTCTTTGCCATAAGTATTTGTTCAGGCTAATATGGCTGCATGGAAATAATCAGTATAAAAGATTTGATCTGGTTTATTTTGTGTGTTTGCCATTGAGGAACCACTTATCCATCTTCAGTGTAATTTTTACTTCAGTTTACTAAGTTTGCATCCGGCTGTATGGTCATTGTTTTTGTTTTTTCCCTGAAAGAATATTTTTAAACTTTAATATCAAATGACTGTAAGTTGCTGACTGGCGTTAGCTAAACAGGCAGATCTTTTTGCTTGTGTCCTGTATTTCAATACTTGGGGCTAATAGATTATTGATGGTGAGAGAAATCTATTCATATTCTTTCTGTATTTTTCCTTCCTAGTACATGGAAAAAGAGGATGCAGTGAATATCTTACAGTTCTGGTTAGCAGCAGACAACTTCCAGTCTCAGCTTGCTGCCAAAAAGGGCCAGTATGATGGACAGGAAGCACAGAATGATGCCATGATTTTATATGATAAGTGAGTTTTATTGAAATATGCACTCAGTTTCAGCGAGTATTTATTGAGCGTTTGATATGTACTCAGAAATAAAGATGAATGAACACAGTCTCTGCTATCAAGGACCTCACAGTGTGGCAGACACAAAAATAACTTTTCATATGGTATGTGTAAAGTTTTCACAATTCTTAGAACAAATATTTCTCTTGGAGGAAGGGAAGTTTATGTGTGACAAGCAGGACAACGATCAGTGAGGATCAGGGAGGGTGTCACAGAATTTGAATTGAATCCTGAAGAATTACTTGAATTGTGCTGACTAGAGAAGGTGGAAAAGAACATTCTAGGCAGAGGCACTGACACAAGCAAAGTCATGGATACTTGAAGATACGTGACACTTTCAGGAGACTTGCAGGGGTGGGGAATATAAGAGGAAGAGGAAATTAATTGAATAGATTGAATATATCTATGTGTGGGTATATCATATTTTCTCGAACAAATTACTCAACCAGATTAATCGCTAAATGAATAATAGTTTTTCATTAGCTTTCACTGAAGATGTGAGGATGCAAGTATTTTACAGTGAACAGAATTGAAAACATCTGCTGAGGCAAGTGATAAGGCTGCGGCCAGCTTCATGACATGTGGGGTTCCTTCTTATTTAATTTTTCTTGTTCTGTAAAGAAAAGTAATTTGTTAGTGTACATAAGCAAGTGCTAATGGAGTGCTTTTGGGGTGGAGAGAAATGCATGGAATGTTAGAGGTAGAAAAGAACTAAGAGCATCTAGGCCAGTGGTTCCTAAACGTTAGTCTGCAGGCTCATGCTGGGCTGTCTGCATGAGAATTGCCTGGGAGCTTGTTAAAAATAGATTTCCAGTCTTCATCTCTATAAGATTCTCAGTCAGCAGGTTTGAGGTGTGACTCAGCAGTCTTTATATTTAGAAGACAGTCCAGATGATTTTGCTGGATATCCAGATTAGGGCTCTAGTCTCATTTTCCCATTTCATGAGAAGGAAACTAAGTTCTGGAGAGGTAGTGACTTTCCGGAGTCACAGACAAGTTAGTTGCAGAACTGGGACTGGAATGAAATTCTTAATGTTCTGTCCAGTGTTTATTCTAATATATTCATAGAAAATATTATATACGAAACATTTATATGTATGTTAAAATAGCAAGAATTTTACATTTAGGAATTGAGTCTTCAGTGCCTGAAAATTCAGATCATGGAGGAATATTTACCTATTAGAAGATGACAGACTCACTTTTTTGTCATGGAAACTGATAGCAAAAAAAGACTTTTTATGCTGGTGCAGAGTAGTGGCACTCAGAAGGCCCTGGCTAGAGCTCAGTAACTGCACAGAGCAGATTCCCTGTTTTCCCACTGGATTCCATTCTCACATTGGTAGCTATGTTTAAATGAAGATTACTCTGTGGCATCCCACTAGCACTGTCATTTTGCCAAGTTCATTGTACCAAATTTGACTTTTCCGATTCCCTACTTGTGTTTTTGTATCTTATATATGGTTATCACTATTAGTACATTATCAACCTTCTGTTTCTGTCACGGACAGGAGATAGAAGCCTACTTTGAAGGGTGCTTGTAAGAGAGCATATAGATACATTTTTCTGCTTTTTTGTTTCTGCTTCGTTATCAGCTTATCAAAACACCAGTTAGAAATCCTTTGTTATCATTGATAACTCCCTTTCTTTTCCACACTAAACCATCATCAACTATTGCTGTTAGTTCTGTCCGAATACATCAGATCCATCCACTTCATCCTCAGTGCCATTTCGTTTAGAATTCCTGTATGTTTATTGTCTGTGTCTCATAGTTAATACTTGATGTGATAGTATGTCCTTATTGTATCCTGTGAATAGGTCTTTCTACTCTCTTTTGAAGGGAAGTGACCATGTCTTACCCTCCTTAATTCCATTTCTACTTATCAAGTCCTGAACGGAGAATTGTTGTTGTTAGGTGCCATCGAGTTGGTTCCGACTCATAGCAATCCCATATACAATAGAATGAAACACTGCCCAGTCCTGCACCATCCTCACAGTCGCTGTTATGCTTGAGCCCATTGTTGCAGCTGCTGTGTCAATCCATCTTGTTGAGGGTCTTCCTCTTTTTCGTTGGCTGTCCACTTTACCAAGCATGATGTCCTTCTACAGGGTCTCATCCCTCCTGATAACATGTTCAAAGTATGTGAGACGTAGTGTCACCATCCTTGCTTCTAAGGAGGATTCTCGTTGCACTTCTTCCAGGACAGATTTGTTTGTTCTTTTGGCAGTCCATGGTATATTCAATAATCTTTGCCAACACCGCAATTCAAAGGTGTCATTTCTTCTTCGGTCTTCCTTATTCATCGTCCAGCTTTTGCATGCATATGAGGCGATTGAAAACATCATAGCTTGGGTCAGGCACACCTTAGTCTTCAGGGTGACATCTTTCCTTTTCAACACTTTAAAGAGGTCTTTTGCAGCAGATTTGCCCAGTGCAAGGCATCTTTTGATTTCATGACTGCTGCTTCCATTGATGTTGATTGTGGATCCAAGGAAAATGAAATCCTAGGCAACGTCAGTCTTTTCTCCGTTTATTGTGATGTTGCTTTTTGGTCCAGTTGTGAGGATTTTTGTTTTCTTTATGTTGAAGTGTAATCCATACTGAAGGCTGTAGTCTTTGATCTTCATCAGTAAGTGCTTCAGGTCCTCTTCACTTTCAGTAAGCAGGGCTGTGTCATCTGCATAACGCAGGTTGTTAATGAGTCTTCCTCCAGTTACTGATGCTGCGTTCTTTTTCACATAGTCCAGCTTTTCAGATTATTTGTTCAGCATACAGACTGAATAAGTATGATGAAAGGATACAGCCTTGACGCACACCTTTCCTGACTTTAAGCCACGCAGTATCCAGAGAATACTGTAACGGAGAATAGGTTCCCATTAAATATGTGTGATTGATTGGTTTCTTTGCCCCAAATGTAGCCTGACCCTCACAGCTCTTAAATAGTAGAGTTAACAGGACAAGAGTAAGGATGGCGAAAGGCACATAGGGAGGTCGCAAGTTGACCCACATATTTGAAGGAGTGGGAACAAATAAATTTGCAGCAGGGATATTATTGTTCAACTCTGTAGTTCCAGGTCTGCAGGCTGAATCACATAGCATCATATAATATTCTCTGGTATAGATGCCAAAAGTTGCTTATACTTCCTGTCGAATTTGGTTTTACTTTAGCTATCTTTCTACCACAGGTATTTCTCCCTCCAAGCCACACATCCTCTTGGATTTGATGACATTGTCCGGTTAGAAATTGAATCCAATATCTGCAGGGAAGGTGGGCCACTCCCTAACTGTTTCACAACTCCATTATGTCAGGCCTGGATGACCATGGAGAAGGTAACCAAGAACTTTCACTGCAAGAATTCTTCACTGGTGAAACCCAGAAATATATCATCATAGTGTGAAAATATAACATGGGAAAAACCAAATGGAACATTGGAGAATTGAAGCAGTGCAGTATAGTGATTAAGAGCAAAGGCTTTGTGTCTAGCTTCGTGTGTATTAATCTTGACCTTTGTAGGCTGAGTGACCACAGGCAGTTACTAAAATTCTTTAATGCCATTTTCCTCATCTTAAAATGAGGATTATACGAATACTTACCTCAAAGTTATTTTAGAATTAAAATGAAGTAATGTGTATAAAGTGCTTATATATTCGCATAGTGCTTAATACATAGTAAGCACTAAAAAATGTTAACTGCTATTATTACTGTTGTTATTATTAAATCTTTTTAGATAATTATCAGTCACTCTGAGTTGGAATCTGCTTGATGGCAATGAGTTTGGGTTTTGGTTTTTAAGGGACAAAGTTAGCTTAGGAATGATATATCTCACAAGTACCTATCAACAGTTGAAGCATTAGTTTTGTGTGTCATGATCACTTACGAGATATCACTGTTGTTGTTGTTAGTTGCCACTGCGTCAGTTCTAACTCATGGCGACCCAACGTGTACAGAGAACAGCTCCATAGGGTTTGCAAGGCTGTGACCTTTTGGAAGCAGATCGCCAGTCTTTTGAGCAGGCATCTGTCTTTCAAGGCACCTCTGGGTCGGTTCAAACAGCCAACCTTTCATTTAGTAGTCAAGCGCTTAGCCATTTGTGCCACCCAGGACTCCAAGAGATATCACTAATAGCTTATAAATAATAAAGTCTTGAAATTTCTGAATGATTTTTATTCTTTTTATGAACTAGAGCAGATTTTACCAAGAATTGCCCATGAAGTTATGTTGCTCGTATATGTCCTGTGTATCAAGGTGGAAAAAGGTTAATTAAGCACTGCTATATAATGCCATACACAAAAACTATATTCCAGGAATACTGAAGAATTATTTATAAGACTCAGATCATTGAAAAGCTAGTAGTAAACAGAAAAGAGTATCAGCTATTACACAGAGATAATATTTTCATGATTAAAATTAAAATCTTTCTGATTGTAGAAGGAAAGTTCCAGATTGGTATATATACAGTATAAAGATATAATCTTTTTTTCTATGTATTTTGTAATATATAAACATAATAATGTAAACTTTCTGTTTAATAAACAAATTAAAATATAGAGAAAAACAATATACAAAAATATTTCTTACTAAATGTGTGTGCATAAAGAAATTATAATAAGAATAACGTCAAGACCATGGTAGATAAATGGGAAATAGTCATGGATGATTCATTCAGCAGATCCTTGAGTATTTGTTTGCAGGGTACAGGTGTTAACAGTGGTGAAAAAAAAGAAACATGGTTTCTGCCTTCCTGGAGCTTAGTCTATAAAGGAAGGCACATATTAAATATGGACATAAATACAATTATGATAAGTGCTGTGAAGGAAAAGTTTGTAATAGGAAATGCAAGTAACTAGTCTGGGAATTTACTCAATATCATTAATAACTTTTAAATGTAAATAAAAATATTAATGTAATATTTGGCATTTATTTAATGATTTGCAAAATACAGTCCAGTGTTGGATAGCCTGTATGGAAACGGATACCTTGATATATTGCTAAAATCATTTTGAAAGGTAGATTGACCATATACATCAAAGCTAAAATGTTCATACCATTTATCTCAGTAATCACATTCCTGGTAATTTATCTTAAGGAAATCAGTTCAGAAGTAAAAATCAATATATGCACAAAGACTTTGAATTTTTACGACGGATCAGAAAAATCTAGTTTCAAATTATATTCATTCCATGGACTGTTTGGCGGTTACCAAGAAGTATAAATATCATGGTGATGTAATAGTTTCTTGGTAAGTATTTTGAAAAAAACACTAGAAACAAAATTGTATACATTGTAATTTTAGTTACAGTGTACAAGGGGATAATGTTTGGAGTGTAACGAACTAAAAACATTTGTGCAGCTGGTAAAATTAATTTGTTTTAAAATAAATTTTTAGTTGTATCTGATTTCAACTTCAAAATGATGCTTGTCCTCTCTTCCAGGTCTTTTTGCCTGGCTTTTTGTCCAGCAATCTTTATTATAAATATTTGAATGATCTCATCCATTCAGTTCGAGGAGATGAGTTTCTGGGAGGGAACATTTCATTGACTGCTTATGGCTCTGTTGGCCCTCCTCATGAGTCTCACCCAGGTGTTTCCAGCAGCTCATCTTCTCAGGTATTGGCCAATTTACTTCTGTCATTAAAAGGAAAGCATACAAATCTTTTCCTTCAAGTACCAGAAACAGATCCTGTTTGTCAGTTTTAAGTTGTAGAAACAAAGAAGAAGTAAAATTAACCCACTTTTACTGTATATTCTAATCAAAGTACTTGTGACTAACGATATACTGTGTTGTAAGGTATCATGCTATTTCATTCTGGCCATTTTTCTACTTCACTCTGTAGCTGTTGCTCTTAGTATTAAATCAGATAATGTGAAATATATTTGTAGTATCTAAAGATCTCTTTGTGTGATTATTTGAAATATTTGAATAACTAAATTTAGGATGCTTTTTATAGAGTAAATGAGTGAACTCTTAGATTTCTTAATATTGTATTTCACTGAAGAACCTTTGGTTTCATTCTGAACTACAGTGCCACATTGTACATTTCCTTAACTTTTTATTTTTTTATTTTTGGACTACTTTTATATATCAATCTTATCTTCTCTGATCTTCCCAAAATCATTTGAAGTGGGTTATCCCCAAAACAAGGGACCTAAGGCGTTAGGAAGTGAACTGATTTTATCAAAATCACGCAGTAAGTGGTAGAGCCAAAACTATATTCCCCACCTAGTGTTGTTCACCATAAGTCAAATGATATAGCATAATAATTTTCTCGGTCACTGTTGACAAATAAAAAAATAACACTTTGAATTTTTTGATATTAGGCCTTGGATGCAGCTTCTTAATTTAGAAGACAGTACTATTTTATTGCCATTAACAAAGCTCTGAGTACCCCAAAAGCAAACCTCATATAAGCTATCACCTCCACAAACCTCCCATTCTTCCAGCCCTAGGCAACCATGAATCTTTCTCTCTATAGATTTACCTATTCTGTACATTTTGTATGAATGGTATCATATTGTATGTGGTCTTTTATGACTGGCTTCTTTCACTTAGCATAATGTTTTCATGGTTCATCCATGTTTAGCATGTATCAGAACTTCTTTCCTTTTTATGGTCTAATCTCTTGTATGGATGTAGACCACATTTGATTTATCCATCTGGTTGATGCACATTTGGTTTGTTTCCATGTTTTAGCTGTCATGAGTAATGCTGCTATTAACATTTGTGTACAAGTTTTTGTGTAGACGTACATTTTTATTTCTCTTGTGTATATACCTGGAAGTGGAATTGCTTGGTCAAAAGATAACTCTGTTAAGTTTAAGAAACTTCCAGACCATTTTCCAAAGTGGCTGCACCGTTTTATAATCCCACCAGCAGTGTGTGAGACTTCTAATTTCTCCACATCCTCACTAAACTTGTTATTATCTACTTTTGATTATAGCCATCCTATTGATATGAAGTTGTGTCTCATTGTGGTTTTGATTTGTATTTTCCTAATGGCTAATGATGTTGAGCACCTTTTCATGTGCTTATTGGCTATTTATCTGTCTTTTTTGGGTAAATATTAAATCCTTTGCCCATTTTTTAATTGATCGATCGGTTTGTCTTTTTACTATTGAGTTGTAAAAGTTCTTTATATAGTCTAGATTAAAGCCCCTTATCAAATACATGATTTACAAATATTGTCTCCCATTCTGTGAGTTGTCTTTTCACTCTTTGATAGTGTCCTTTGAAGCACAAAAGTCTTTAATTTTGATAAAGTCCAGTTTATATGTTTTTCTTTTGTTACTTGTACTTTTTGTGTCACGTCTAAGAAACCATTGTTAAATTTCACGTGCATAAATACCCCTGTTTGTTCCTAAGTTTTTTTATTATTTTATTTCTTACATTTACATATATGATCTATTTTGAGGTAAATTTAGTGTGAGGTAGAGGTCCAACTTCATTTTTTTGCATGTGCATATCCATTTGTCCCAGCACCATTTGTTTTAAAAAAAAACTATTTCACCACTGAATGGTCTTGGCATCTTTGTTGAAAATCAGTTGACCATAGATGCATAGATGTATGAGTTTATTTCTGGACTCTCAATCCTATGCGGGTTTTGATTACACTATCTTTGTAATTTTGAAATTGGAAATGTTACTTCTTTTTCACAATTGTTTTGGCTATTCTGGGCCCTTGAAATTTTGTATGAATTTTAGGATTACTATTTCCACTTGGATCAGGATTACACTGAATCTATAGATTTCTTTGGGGAGAACTGCAGTCTTAAGGATATTAAGTCTTCCAATTCATGAACATGGCTGTCTTTCCATTTAAGTCTTTAACTTCTTCCAGAAGTGTTTTTTAGTTTTCAATGTACAAATATTGCACCTTCTTTGGGCAGTTACTCCTAAGTGTTTTATTCTTTTGGGTCCTATTATAAATAGAATTATTATTATTTTTTTAATTAATCAAATTTTTGGTGAAAGTTTACACAGCAAATTAGGTTCCCATTTAACAATTTCTCTACATTATTGTTCAGTGACATTGGTTCCCTTTTCCACATTATTTCCACAAATACCATTCTTATTCTTTCCGTTCTGGTTGTTCCATTTCCATTATTTTTGCTTCTCTGTCCCCTTCTGACCTTCTCGTCTTTGCTTTAGAATAAATATCGATCGTTCTTCTCATGTAGATCTGTTTTTTTTTTTTTAAGCAGTACAGTACTCATGGGTGATATTGTTTATTTTATGAGCCAATCTGTTATTTAGCTGAAAGGTGACCTGCAGGAGTCATTTTAGTTCTAAGTTTAAAGGGTATCTCAGGGCAATAGTCTCAGGGATTCCTCTAGTCTCTGCTGTCCAGTAAATCTGCCTTTTTTTTTTAAGAATTTGAGTTTTGTTCTTCAGTTTTCTCCCATTCTATCCAGGATCATCTATTGCCCTGGTCAGAATGGTTGGTAGTAATAGCCAGGCACCATATAGTTCTGGTCTCTGAGTAGGTGAGGCTGTGGTTCCATGTAGGTAATTGGTCCTATAGACTAGTTTCTTCTTTGGGTCTTTGGTTTCCTTCTTTGCCTTTTGCTTCAGACAAGTAGAGACCAATAGTTGTATCTTAGATGACTGCTTGCAAGCTTTTAAGACCCCAGGCGCTACTTACCAAACTAGAATGTAGAACATAAACTTAATAGACTGTGTTGTGCTAATTGACAGAGATGTCCCATGAGACTATGGTTCTGAGCCTTCAAACACAGTAAACCAATCTTGCGATGTATTTGCTTATGTCTGGGAGGTATCTGTGACTGTGTCCCCTATGTACTTTTGTTTTATATATATGCGCAGCACACACAAACATGTACGTAGATTCGCCTACAGATACACCTATATATGCTCACGTATATACACACATATACCTTCCTATACACATGTATGCATACGTATCTACCTGTGTAATCACTCACGTGTTTTTTTGGTTGTTAGTGCTGTTGCCAGGTATATGTTAACAGCATTTACTAATATTGTCCCTTGTTATTGTGTATTTCTTAGTCTCTTCATTTACCTTGGTTAAATTGTGTTCAGTTTACTGACATTCAGTGTTGCCTTTGCCTGTTGCCTTTGCCGTTACCAAAACTAGCAAGTGTCTACTGTGTAGAGAGTGAGTCCCCATCCCTCCTGTTCCCATCCCTAGTAAACACCAAAGAACGTTGATTTCTGTATGTATACCTATTTTTGTCTTTTTATAAAAGTGGTATCATTCACTATTTGGTTTTTTGTGCTTGACTTATTTCACTAAGCATAACGTCCTTCAGGTTCATCCATATTATGTTTTGTGGACTCATCATTATTCTTTATAGCTGTGTAGCATTCCACTGTATGTCTGTACCACATTTTGTTTATCCATTCATCTGTCGATAGGCACTTTGGTTGTTTCCATCTGTTTGCTATTGTGAATAATGCTGTAGTGAACATAGATGTGCATATGTCTATTTGTGTCACTGCTGTTAGATCTCTAGGCTATATACCTAGGAGTGGGATTGCTGGAAATAAGGTATTTCTAGCTGTTTGAGGAAGTACCATACCGTTTTCCATAGTGGTTGTACCATTTTACACTACCACGAGTAGTGGATGAGGGTCCCATTCACCCGACAACCTCACCAGCATTTGTTGTTTTTTGGTTTTTTTTTATCAGTGCCATTTTTGCATGGATGAGATGGTATCTCATTGTAGTTTTGATTTGCGTCTCTCTGATGGTTCATGATTGGGAGCATCTTTTTGTGTGTTTGTTGGCCACTTGAATGTCTTTTTTGGTGAAGTTCAGCTCGTTTGCCCGTTTTTTAATTGGCTTGTTTGTCTTTCTGTTGTTGAAGTTTTCTGTATATTATAGAGATTAGACCCTTATCAGATACATCATTCCCAAAGATTTTTTCCAATCTGTAGGTTCTCATTTTACTCTTTTGATAAAGTTTTTTCATGAGCATACGTACTTAATTTTTAGGAAGTCCTAGTTACCTAATTTGTCTTCAGTTGCTCGTGCATTTGTTAGATACATTATTACTGGAAATAATTAGGTCTTATAGTTTTGTCCCTGTATTATCTTACAGGAACTTCATAGTTTTAGCTTTAACATTTAGGTCTTTGATCCATTTTGTTAATTTTTGTGTATGGTGTTAGGTATGGATCCTGTTTCATTTTTCTGCAAATGGATATCCAGTTTTGCCAGCACTGTTTGTCAAAGAGACTGTTTCTTCCCCCACTGAATGGACTTTGACCTCTCGTGAAAAATTAGCTTCCCATAACCAAAGAAAAAAACCACTGCTGTTGAGTCAATTCTGACTCATAGCAACCCTATAGCTTCCCATAGATGGATAGATTTACTTCTGGGTTCTCAATTCTATTCCATTAGTGTATGGGTCTGTCATTGAACCAGTACCAGGCTGTTTTGATTGTTTTGGCTTTATAGTATATTTTGAGATCGGGGAGTGTGAGGCCTCCTACTTTGTTGTTCTTCAATATTGCTTTGGCTGTTCGGGGCCTCTTTCCTTTCCATACAAAGTTGGTGATGTTTTTTTCCATTTCAGTAAATAAGGTTGTTGGAATTTGGATTAGAATTACATTGTATCTATAGATC